CAACGCCCTTCTGCAGGCCTGCCCAGCGCCTGCCCTGCCCCATGGGCACACCTGGGCCCTGGGTCTCTGGAACTGGCTCATCACAGCCTTCACGAAGTTCAGCATCTGGGTAAACTCCATGGGTTTGATGCTGCCTGAGCCGTCGATCAGGAACACGATGTCCTGCTCCTGCCTCGGGCACTCTGAGGAAGGAGGTGGCACGGTCCTCTGCGGGCGCTCCCAGAGCCCAGACCCTCCCGGTAACAAGAACTCCCCCTGCCCCCTGCCCGGAACAGGGCCTGGTGGTCTCCTGGAGTCTCTAAGAGGCTGCACCTAGGATTCGGCTGCTGACACCTGCGCAGCCAGCCTGGTTGGTAAAAACATGAAAGGTCCTGCAATGAGAAGCTGCTCCCCTCTTCGACCTCGGCGGCCGACCCCCTGGCCCTCCACACCTCTCCCCACCGCATCTCCACTCTGTTCCGGGCCCTGGCCAGGCTCTCTCCTCACTGTTCGGAGCTGAACTGAAATTTTTGTTAATTTTTTTTAACTTGTTGCTGTTGTTAATCCTCACCCGATGAAAGAGGTGGAGAGAGAAAAAGACACAGAGAGAGAGAGAGACATCAGTGTGAGAGAGACACATCGATTGGTTGCCTCCTGCACATGCCCTGACCAGGGCTGGGGATCGAACCTGCAACCCAAGTACTTGCCCTTGACCGGGAATCGAACCCAAGACCCTTTGGTGCATGGGCTGATGATCTAACCACTGAGCACACCAGGCCAGGGCTGTTAAATATTTGTAATGCCACCCCTGGCAGCAGCCACACACTGGCCCTATTCTGTTCTCTGCTTAAATGAAGGACCTCACTCCCCTCCTGGGTGAACACAGGTCTGCCCTCAGGAGAGGAGGCTGCCCAGCTCTCAGCTCCCCTTTCTGCCGCAGCGGCCTCCCACCCGAGAGAGTGGCGTCCTGGGTGTTCCCTGGGGAGCCCAGTGCCTGTGGGTCAAGTTAGAGCCTAGAGGTGCTGCAAGGGGCACTGCATTCAGTGGCCCATGCCGGCCTCCCCAAGGGCCTGAGTGTGAGAGTGAAACCAGGGCGGGGCCTTGGGCTGCTGTGGGCTGGTGTGAAGAACTCACTGTTCCACTTCCTCATTTTCCATTCCCACCGGCACCGGGAAGCCAGACGCTGTGCCTCAACCTGTGTGCACACACACACACACACAGAGACACACACATCGTACACACTCACACACACACACAAATCATACACACACACAGATACAAAGACACACATCATACACTCACACAAATACATACACATCACACACAAATACACAGACATCATACACATCACACACGCATACACACATCATACACACATCATACATACTCACACACACACAAAGACACACATCATACACTCACACAAAAATACATACACATCACACACACAAATACACAGACATAATACACATCATACATGCACAAATGCACACAAATCACACACACAAATACACAGACATCATACACTATACACATCATACACACATCATACACTCACACACAAATGCACACATACACACACATGCACACATCATACACTCACACACAAATGCACACATACATACATCATACTCACACATACACACACATACATCATACACTCACACACAAATGCACACACACACCATACACTCACACACAAATGCACACATACACACATCATACTCACACATATACACACCATACACTCACACACAAATAGACACATATACCATATACACACATCATACACTCACACACAAATCATACACACACAAATAAACATACATGCATCATACACTCACATGCAAATGCACAGACATCATACACACATCATACACAAACACTCATCATACACACACACAAATGCACACATACACACGTCATATCCTCGCACACAAATAGACACATACACACATCATACACATACACCATCCACACATACAAACACAAGTACACACATATACTATACAGGTCCACACATCATACACACGAACAGACACATCATGCACGGACACATTCAGACTGTCTGTCCTCATCACCCTTTCTTGGCTGCACAAACCAATCGGTCATATCTATCCCAGCTACACTGGGTGAAAATAAACCCCCTTCTCTCTAAAAACAATAGCAGTTGGCAAGCACTGAGCCCTCAGCACATGCCAGGCGCTGTGCTAAGCCCTGGCCGTGGCACGTCTGGTGTTGCTCGGTACTGGGTGTCACCATGCCCATCCGCCAGATGGAGCAGGGGGGCTCGGAGAGGGCGAGGGCACAGGAGAGGCTGCAGCGGCAGTCACAGGGCGGGCTGTGAAGGCGGCTGTGATTCCCGCCGTGTTTGACCCACTACACAACCCAGTAAACCTTTTTCCAGATCCCTCTCTTCTTTTTAATGGTTTTATTGATTTCAGAGAGAGGACGGGAGAGGGAGAGAGAGAGAGAAACATCAATGATGAGAGAGAATCATTGATCGGCTGCCTCGTGCACGCCTCCTACTGCGGATCGAGCCCACAACCGGAGCATGTGCCCTGATCAGGAATCGAACTGTGACCTGGTTCCTGGGTCAACGCCCAACCACTGAGCCACACCAGCCAGGCCAGTTCCCTCTTTTCAACCTGCTTTGGTAGAGTGTCTCTGGCCCCACTACGCCTCCAGTGAGATGTCTGTGGGCTCCTCGAAACACCCAGGGCCCAGACACTCACCCTGCAGGGCATCTGGGAGCCTCTGGGTCGGCCAGGAAGAGGAGGCCCACAGGAAGCAGAACCCGGCCAAGTGCATGTTCTCGTTGCATGCATGGTGCACGGTGGGGCCACAGGCCTGGGGACAGAGGGTGGTGGGCGGGGCAGCTCCTGCCTCTGCCCCATCCCAGCACCCCACCCTCCACAAGAGCCCCGCTCCTGCAGTCCCAGGTCCCCACCCCTCCTCAGGATGCTCCCGTGACCCAGGGCGACTCACCAGCAGCCGAGGGGGTGTGGTGGCAGCTGTCAGGGACAGGCCCAGGGACATGTTCACAGCCTCTGGGGGGGCTGAGGGGACAGGTAGGTGATGGTCACCCTCAGGACAGAGGAGCTATGTACAGTCTGGGCAGAGGTCGCCTCATCCCTGGGAGACAAGGAGGTCTGACACATGAAGGGGGCTCCCAGCTCTTGATGGAGCTCTGAGGGTGCAGGAGGGCCACGGGCAGGGAGGCCTTCGGGGTCAGGAAGCATGTCTGACGGTGAGGGTTTTCAGACAGAGCTGAAGCTGGAACGTGGGCCCCCTGTGCTCCGCACAGACCCCCTGCAGCATGGGCACCTGGACCTGGGTCCCAGGGAGGGGCGGGGACTCACTCTGCAGCTGGATGGGCTCACAGGTGGCCGTGCTGTAGTCACACCGGTAGAGGCCACCGGTTTGGTTGACAGCCTTTATCTCCAGGGGGGCTCCCACCACCACCCTGGGGGGCAGACAAAGAACAATGCAGTTAAGCGTGTGGACACAGCAGACAGAGAAAGACAAATACCGTGCGATTTCACTTACTGGTAGATGTAGAATCTAAAGAACCAAATACACACAAACAAAACAGACTCAGATACAGTGAACACACTGAGGGTTGCCGGGTGGGAGGGGCGAGGGGACTGGGGGGAGAGGGGAAGGGAAGGAGAAGTCACAGGATAGTCGCGGGGTGTGAAGCACAGCATAGGGACTGTGGGCAATATTTGTGTGGTAAGTACGTCCCGTGCCCGGTGGGTACTAGGATGATCAGGGGGGTCACTTCATAGATTATACAATTGTCTAAGCACTAGGATGGACACGCGAAACTAACATAAAATAAAAGTAGTGTGGGCACTAACGCCAGACTGCCACTCCAGCAAGTGTGCTTCAGCTCTCTGTGCCTCAGTTTCCTCATCTGTCAAGAGGAGATTAATAACAATTTAAGTTCTGCATGGGAGGGATTTCTCTCTGTTTTATTCTCTGGTGTATGACTGGCTCCTGAGGCATACAGTAGGTGCTCAATAATTGTTTAATTGAGGACTAAATCCATACCCACGTAAAGGGTGGGTGGCCCAGTGTCTGGCGCCTAGTAAGTGCTCAATAAATGTTAGCGAGCTCTGATCATCGAGATGGCTGGACAGCGCTGCTTTCAGTCCAGCTCTTTGCGGCCTTGGGGGAATGGCCCACCAGAGAGACAGGAGAGCTTGTGAACTAAGGGCGTGGTGGGGAGGAGCAGAACGCTGTGCAGGGAGAGGAGCTGATGAGGTGACCGAGGCCAGTCACCACCACCACCACCACC